GACAGACAAGCAGCTTAGTAAAGCTGGGTCCTCTTCAGAAAACATCACATAAAGCTTGCCAGTCTTTCAGAATTATGCACAAAGAACATGCGAGATTGGCAAGTGTGCTACAACGGCAATCCAACCAAAATGGGCAACATTCAAAAGTCACAGAAAGTCTTCAAATAGCCAATGGTAACACACAAATCTGCTGAAAAATGTGATTCAGAGCTCAATGCAACTGTTGTTGCAGATGTCCCCGACGGACTGATCAGGATCAACAACATGACATGAAAGAGAGACCTTTCCATGCACTACAGACTTATAACCAAAGGATAGCTGACATCTAAATGGTAATAAAAGAGTGTATTGGTATTTTATTTCATGGCGTAACTGGTGAGCTGCCATTCTGGGTCTGATGTCAACGTGAGCCCTGAATACCACACTCCTCCCAATCTCCAGGAAAAAAACCAACATGAATGTGCTGCATTATTCTGAAAAATGTAAATGGGCGTGATTTGGGAGAGCTACGTTTCTTGGCCTGTTAGCGTTCTTTCATTTGTGACGAGAACAGCCGTCAGTGGGACTCCACAGTGTCAAGTAAGAGATGTGGCCACGCAACTTTCATGAGCTCCACTTCTCTGTATGTGCCAGAAGTACACGTCAAGTGCAGGGCAGTGTTTTGCCAGCCTTCACGACCGATGCAAAAATGTCCAGTTAACCACCATTTAACTCCATACAGGTTACGTTTCTTACCAGAAAGGGAGAAACAGAGAAGTATACATGGCAAAAAGGCCCACTCCTTGTTGCAATAGCTTCCGCTTGCAGATGATCCCATACACCCCTGCTTCCTCCCCCCTCTTCTGTCCTGCCCGCCTTCACTTTTCCTCTGAAGATAGAAGGTGCAAAGAACTAGATTCCCCCAGAGCAAACACGGATGCCACTCAATAGATTGCCTGACATGAGGTGAAACAATAGCACAGTTAACACCCTCCCCTGCAGAGGTAATCCATATCATGCCTGCAACAGACTGAGTCCCCAGCTGGCTGCTCCTGAACTGGAGAGCACAATAGGCCGCTGCGGCTGGCTCACCAGGTAGATTCACCGTACACACACACACACACCGTACACACACACACACACACACACACCGTACACACACACACACACACACACACACACACACACTTCAATTCAAATAAAGGTTAGCAAGAGTCTCTCAGCGATTACAGGGGTGCTGAGAGCACACCAGCTATGCTGAGCAGTGCTGAAATATCAGGCTGTCAATAATTAACCAGCTCAGCCATCCCCGCCGAGGTAGGTGCGTGACATGTCCTTATCGATACGGCCCCCACGGGCTTCCTCTGAGGTACGAAGGCAAGAAAAGAAGCAGAGGGCTGACATGGTCCCCAGAAGAACCAGGTCTGTCATTTGCCTGGTGTCCAAAATTCATTAGTTGGTAACAAAATTTCAGGGAGTGGACAGCTCGTTAAGTCAGCGTCTGGTTTTTCCCCTCACCCACCTGCTTCTGGAGGCTGCCGCTCTGCTCAGCTCTGCCTGCCCCCTCTTTAAGCCCTGAGAGTACCTTGGCCTCCTGTTAGTGGCAGCCCTTTAATCAGGTCAATGCTCATCAATGGCTTATTGGACAGATTAGCCAGAGCTCAGAGGACAGGGCAGTGGGAAGTCCCGCAGCCTCAAGAGGAGTCCTAGGAGGTGCAGAAGCTGCAGCCCTGGGAGGATCACAGAGGACGGCTGTGCAGGGCGAACAAAGTGCCAGTTGATGCCTTGCGGTGCAGCAAGCACGCAGATCCACAGCCCAGTCTCTTCCAGCCCCCCTTGGGGCACTGCTGGTTCAGCAGTCGGGCTGTGCTACTCAGTACACAGGGCGGCACCTCCATCTGGGCTGCCGCAGGCTGCATGGGGTGAAGTCCCTTATGCCTCAACCACAATGGCTCCTTCATATAAGGGCTGGCCAAAACTGGCCCCAAAGTGACAGCAATCTTCAGCTCCCTCCTCCGGAACAGCACAATCAACACCTCCCATCTGAGCGGACAAGCACCACCTAAAACATTGTAAGAGCAGCTACAACACTACACAGAAACTCAACACACAACAACATACTTTGTAGGCCATGCTTCATTTCCTTTCTCTCCATTTTTTAAAATGTTACTATTGAGTGCACTGAGAAGTCTTTGTGGGTTAGGAGCTCATCTGCGTTGGCAAAGTCTCATCCCTCCAACTGCATCACACTTTCTGTGACGGTGCAACTGGTCACTTTGACAACAGTGAGGCTGTACATAGAGAACTGGGCCCTAAATCAACTATTACACTGAGATGTCCCTTAAAAGTGATTAATGGTGGCAAAAGTCTGGACCTCAGTGGCTGTGTCTACACGAGACGCTTTACTGCGCAATAGACTAATCTATTGCACAGTAAAGCATCGCCATCTACACGTGCAGGTGCTTCCTGCACAGTAAATTAGCCTACTGAGCAGTGAATTTATTACCTACGTATGCCAAATAGCATTAGTTGCCCGTGTAGATGTGTCCAGTGAACTGCAGGTCAGAACTAGCCAAGAGAAGCCAAGGAGAGGACACAAAACCATTAAGGGACAAAGATTTTGATTTTCCAAGCAAGGTGTTCACAATAGAAAAGAGAAGGAAAACAAATACAGCAAGGGACAGACACAGATTGTTTTGCAGTTTCCCCTAAGCGGGGTGAAGTTAGAACAGTTCAATGATTTACCCTTGCTGGTTTTTATTTATAAAACCAAACCCAAGAACACAAAACCACGTACTTTTGCTCTCTCCATCTCAAAGCCAAGTAATGTTCTCGCTCAGATATCTGAGTGAGAGGCACAGTACAAGATGCCCGGCTTGTTTACTTGAAGCACTGGTCTTTTACAGCATCCCCTCCTACACGGAGAACGAGATAAATCTCTTAATGACTGAACTAAACTGTCTTCTCCATTTGGCAGTCTATGGCAATTTTCTGAAGTTCCCCTCCACAATTACTGGCAGGAAAGGAAGTTCTGCATAATTGTAAGACTCAACATCTGAAAAAATTAGAGCAGTCCCAACTGTTCTTCGAGATGTATAAAAGAACAGTTGAAAAACTTACAGTTGACTGGTGCTACCTAGGTTACCCATCAGTGGCATTGAAACTGGTATATTATTAAGAGAGGTGTATGATGGGAATTGGTTTATTGTGCTGATCCATAGTAACCAACTCCTGTTCGTCCATCATTTATCTCTCTCACCAGCGACATATGGGTTTGTCTATTCACACTCTCAGCACTCTATCTGCTCCAACAAACAGTCAGCCTTTTCTGCTTGGATAAGGAGATTTTTTAGTTACATCCATTATGTGCGTATCAACATTTATGGCAGCAAGATAATTGCCAAAGAGCTCATGGGGATAAAAGCTCCCTCTTTATAACCTAAACCCCCTTAAAAAAAAATAAATCAATATTGATATAAAACTGTTCAGCACCAGGCCTTGGTGTGTCTTCTGCTCCCTTCACTTTGAAATACATTTTTTTTTAAATGGCAAGTCAGGCTGGAAGACTGGATAGAAAGCCTGGCTAATGAGTTAAAATGCTATTCTCCCTGTAAAGGGGGGAGAAGGGGGGGAATTAGCAGTGTGTAACATTAATCATTCCTTAAATAAGTGAATAGCAAAAGCGTCAGATAGAAAGAGGGTTCTTTGGAAACGCGCCATCGTCATTTCAACCAATTTAACGATCTTTATTTGAACACCCGAGCAATTACTAATGAATCGTAACTTACTGGCACCTTCCTTGAAACGTGTCCCAAGGCTGACAACTTGCAACTGGCCACCAGAAGGGAACAATGGAAACTTTGGGATTTTGCATTTCCTTCTGACCACCTTTTCCTGCTCCCTCCTCTTCCCCCGGTTTGCTTGTGTCTAATTGCCGTGCCCTGTGCAAGAGTTAACGTAGCATCCTGCAGCTGTCTGCTTCTAAAGGGTTATCTTAAGGTAGCTTCTACTTAAGGAGCACAGGACTTTTCTTAAGTGACGGGGAACCAGAAATCTGTGCTCAACACAGCTGACGTGACCCTGTAATGTTAATTCCTCTTCTCCTTGCCCTGCTTCACCCTCTGCCCCCCTCATTTATCACTGCCACTAGTTTTAAGTCCCAATTTTGAGATTAGATGCCAGCAACTTGACTCGGGTGCCTACAATGGTCTGACCGCAGGGCTGGGACCTTCAATCGTCAGCTCTTTCAGGCAGTGCCTGGCTCGTCCTCAGGGTTCAGGCAGCACCTGACACAACGGGCCCTTTTCCTGGAGTCGGCACCACCGACACGCTACACGTCTCAAACCAGCACCAGTCCTGCTCATTCTCAGAGCCAACGGAGCAGTAAGAAAAACCAGCCGTACGGCACTGGCATCCTGAACGCGTCGAATGAGCTGGGAAGCCACGAAAATGCAACTGTTGCTCATATCCCAACTCTCCCCGAAGGAGGAGTGGCTCTCAATCCCCACCAGCCCGAGGGACTTGGCAGGGCAAGCCTCCAGGCAATATTTGTCTGCCGGATCTCAGACGCTCGGTGGGGTGGCGTGGCGTCCACCCCAGCTGGGCACGGAGAGTGGCTGGCTGAACCCAGGCTGCAAAAGAGCCTCTCACCTGCCTGCAGATGCACGGCATTTGTTTCTCGCCTGATTTTTTTGTTTCTTCCTCCCTGAGCAACAGACTATTTCCTGGTCGGGTTGACGCTCCAGCTGCAACCCACGCCTCTGTGTCACTGTCAACGTCAGTGGCAGGAAAACATGAGCCGTCGCCCTCCCCGAGCCTTGCCCAACATGGAATTTCCTCGCCGCTCCCCCCGCCGCCCGGAGCGCTTCCCCCCGACCCGCTTTCCCCGCCGTGCAGACGTGCGGGGCAGCCCCGGAGCCGCCGCCTGCCTCCGCCCGGCCAGACGGTGCCTTGGAGGCTGCGGGGGGAGCGGCCCCGCGGGGCTTTGTTCCCCGTGCCCGTGCCCGTCCCGGGCGGCTCACCGGCAGATGCGGCTCCATGCGTGGTGCTTCAACCCGCTGGGAAACCAGCAGCATCTTGGAGCGCGGCGCGGCGGCTCCTACATCCAGGGCGGTGCGGGGCGGCGGCGCGGGGCGCGCTAGCTCCCGGGCAAGTTCATGCCGGCGGCGCGGCGGGCAATGCT